ATCCAATGGCATCTTCTGTTTCTTGAATACGTTTCTGGAACCTGCATCCGTCCCGTGCAAATTCTTCCCAGGGTCCTTTCCTGTCTTCCTCACTGCTTACATAATACTCAGTAACTTCATCAAGGAAGGTTACCTAAAGAGAAACAAGATCTATTAGAACAAAAGGCAATCATACAAAACTAGTGTATTCCTGATCAGCATTTGTAATTACTGTTTTCATCAAGCATTTACCTTAACAGTTAGTTGAAAGAGCCACTCCAAAAACACAGGGAACACAAATGTGAACTACAAGTAGCTTGCAAACCATGAATCTTTACCCTACAGTTTCACTGTAAGTGTACTTTTAAAAGACAATTTAATTCCACACAGTTGCTACAGTGTGAGCCAGAGGCTATATGTCAACAGGGAAGAGGAAGACATCCTATAATTTAATATTTAAGGAAGTAACACTCATGCAACTTGAATGGCTGGAATAAAAAAAAATCCTAACAACTTTAGGACTGACATCATGACTATTTAAATAGCATAGACAGAGACAAGAAGCTAAACTAATGCTACCAAATACATCTATCAACAGTGGCATTTGTGCAGAACTTTAAATAAAGCACTTCTACAGTATTTAGTTATGTACAGCTAGCTACTGGTTCAGCTGAGGATCAAATCTTCCAGATGTAGTTTTAAAAAATAAGACAACATATCTGTCATGAAATATTCCATAATAATGCTCACAATAGCAGATTAATTCTTGAGAACATTCCAATTTGGGCAAAATATTCTTAGTGATTTCATACTGCATTCCCCCTCATTGCTCCTTTCACTTCTCTACCCACCCCAATTTTTTTCAGCTATACTAAAGTGGCTTACATAAAAGGAACTCTAACAACTTAAAAAGCGTGCATTTGGCTAACAGCCAGCCAGAAGCATTTTCTAGTGAAAATGGATGCTGCATTCTAATAAAGGCAAGATACAAATAGGCAACACAGGCCTGTCACTTTCCATGAGTACTTTGGAAGAAAAGTTATGGTTACATTTATACTGCATAAGTATTTCAGTGCAAAAAGCTAGGCATCCAGCCAAGCAGCCCTGTATTTGCAAGTTCAACCATTCAACTCTTTTGCTGATTGTACATTAAAGAAATGAGGAAGCAAGTGCTGCCTTAACTTTTTGAACCTCAACAAATTTGAAGTATTCATAAGCATCCACAGCTGCACCTGGCCCAACCCCAACACAAACCCTCTATTATCAGGTGAGTTGGGGTGTGAATTTACAGCATGTTAGCAACTCTGTGTCAACTCCTTGTGAGGAACATAAAGCCATAAGGTACTTAACTCAACTTCCAAAGCTACCTCACAGATACCCTGTGCTAAGAGCATCCACGCAGGAAATGATCAGAGTTGCACTGTAAATTCACATCCTAGCTTTCTTCACAATTAACTTCACCAGATAGACAAATCATTAGCCAATCTAACCTATGCATTTGCCCCAAATACAGCTTCTCCAGTAGCTGCTTAAAGGCCGATGACCTCAGTGTGAACAAAATTAGTTTTACACCGCTATAAGATTTTCTCAAACTTCCAAGAATTATCAACTATTCACACAAGCCATCCACCCTCTGCAGTAGCAATAAGATAAAGTTTGAGCAGCAACCTACCAGGCTGTTTGGCAAAAGATACAAGGACAGATTCAGAAGTTACATCAGTTTCAATTTGGCTGGAAAATTAGTTTTAGAATAATGAATTGCATAGAAAGTTGGCTTGCTAGCCTTATTTTAGTATAATCTGCGGGTGATAAAACAAGCAGGTCCCTTTAACTTTAAAACATCATTCTGTTAACTGTCCTGATGAACGATTCAGGATGATACATAAAATATAACCTTGAAATCGGATAATGACCACAAGAAGTCTCTTTAGACCCTATGTGTCACTTTTGCCAATCTTGGTGTAATACAGCCCACATACCTAATTAAGTGTCTGCTTTCAAGCATGCTGGATAGTTACATCAGCCTGTCCCTTTGTGGCTTGCTACTTTCATCCCTTTTACATCAGTCAAAATTACCTCCTGGGTGCAATTATCAGGTTTTGTAATATCATGCCAGTTATTGCAGACATCATTGTTCATTCACTGTCATTAGGAAGCACTACACAAGGGTCTGAATTCTTTTTAAATTTCGGATAACCAAAAAAAATTAATACTACAAAACAGTAAACCAGGTTAGAGGGTCCTAAGAATGAATTTCTTACTCTCCAAAAGAAAAGTTACTAAGTCTTCCTTCCTGACACAGCAAGATAAACCAAGTGTGTACAAAACCGTGTTCTCATCAAACCTCTGCTCACAGCATTTCATTTAAGTGGCCTGTGCCCAAAACATGTTTCTAAAAGTTACTCATTTTAGAAAATTGTCATTAGATGTAGAAATAAACCCCAGCATCCAAATCATAACAAGTGGCAGTATCAATTCTGCATTCTGAAGTTCTTAATGGTGTATTATTACAGCGACTTGAGCAATTTTTAAACAGTTTTTTTGTACATGTGAAAGTTTTGAATTATGGAACATGATAGAACTGACCAACTTTGGCTTGCAAGCTATATGCAGTTCCCAAACAAAAAGCAGGTAAATAAGAACATTTTATCTTTCTTTCACGTCATTGTCCTATTTTTTAAATTCTTTGGTTCTTGCTTATTATATGGTCCAAAAAGTCATTTAACAAGAAATTACTGTTTGAGCTGGGATGCTAGATATTGATCAGACTCTAGGGCATGCGCATTTCAAAGCTGTGTGTCCTGCAGCACTCTGTGTCAAGGTTTGGTTTACAGCTCAAAGGGTTAGGAAGTTTGGCCACCTCAAAATAGAATTTAATCATAATATCCCATTATGAAAAGGGTAGTAGTATATACACAGACTTCCTACCACTACACTAGAGCACTTTCAATTTTGAGCTAGGCCTCAGAACAATGTGAAGGCCGATTTAGGTGGCTTTAGCTTACCTTAATAGGTCTCAATCTCATTAGAGCAAAACTAGGTGATATGGATTTTCTATTTTTCCCTAGTGGTCATTAAAAGAATGTTAAAAATAGTTAAGGTCTGAGTTATTTATTGCCTATCCAACACCTGAAACTCTAAAGCCACAAAAGCAGGAAGCAACAAAATGACTCAGCAGCTGGTTGCGAGTGTAAAATTACATAGGTAAGACAGTCCCAATCTTCCACTACACGTACAGGAAAAGGTAAGAGCCAATTTCACAGAGAATACTTTTCAGCCTCAAACTCACACACAGGAACTGAAATATTCCTTGGAATTCATTTAAGAGATGTTCAACCAAACAAACAGAATTGCTAAGCAGCACCCTTGGGTGCTACAGCATGGACAGCAAAATCCTTTGGCCTACACTTGAAGCACCCCTGCTCAAAGATGGAAAGAGAACAATGGTCCAAATATGGTTCTTGTCAGTCAACCCTCAGAGTGGGGCTCTGTTTCCCTATTAATCAAGGGCAACAAAGTGTGAACAGCATAGTATTTGGCCACGTGAAGCAGAAAAGGCTACATACAGAGACAGCTTAGAAGAGATGGCAAATGCAGGCTGTCAAAGAATCCAGGCTGCTATCCAGCCTCCATGTCAGGCCCTTGGTTAGAGAAATGTAAACAGCTCTTCACTGCCACTCCTACAAAAAGGGAAGCGTCTACGTACTCTGCCCATTCTGATAAGGTATTACTCCCAGGGCACTGGCTTCAGGACCCAGATCTGAAAGCTATTCCCCCCAGGTAGGTCTTGATTTAGGCCAGAATGCCTTATCTGACCTTAAGAAGTGTCCCACTACGCTTGTAAAGAGATCTTGTTTATTTATAGTACCCTAGAAGTGATCATTACTTCACCTAAATCCTAACACACATGCTGAAGTCCACGTCATATTTAGCAAACCAACCTCTCATTAAGTTACAGCAAAATAGTGAACTGCTTTTCACTTTGGACCATAGTGCTATTAAAAAAAGCTTTCCTCAGTAGTAAACTTAAGCAAATTCTTTCTACTGCCATTAAAAAATGCTAAAATTTCTATCATATGAGGTACTAATATGACTCACTAAGTTCATCTGGAAAGTTTCTACAAAAAAAGCAGAATTGTACGTGTTGCTAGGAACCACTGAAACCCTGTAGTAACCTCCCACAGAACAAAAGTATGTGCTATACGCTACTGCTCAAGCTGGTTTGCCGCTTACAGAACCACATTTTGTTCTTTCCAAGTTACCCTTTCTGAGAGATGTAATTAAGCAATGCAAAAAAGTCCTTCTAAAAAATTACCATCTTTTA